ACTACCACACGTTTATGATTCACCCTGTATATTGGAAAGTAATTTTAGAATGTGGACCTTTTAAACGTGAAAAACTTTCGTTGGACGAATTTTCTAGTAAACTTCATATTTACTGAGATATCGTACTTTGACGCACTAATGAGCAACCCTGTATAATGAAATATTTCAATAGGCTTCCAATCAACTATGGAACCATTTCAAAATATAATTATTCTTCTTCTTGTGCCGTACGCTATCACATCTTCGGCTCTTGTAAATATCAATAAAAGATGCCTATTTAGGTCTGTCGGTTTTTTGGTCAATAGATGGTGACAAAAATGATACACTATTTTTCAAGGCCCAACGTTTCGATTATATTTAAGTCATCTTCAGGGTTATACCGCTTCAGTCCCACTGCCGTCTCCACATCAAAAGTATATCTTATCGAATTAGAGAAACCTACACCTACCCCTGTAGCCGTGCCAAAGTTGTTTGTAGTCCCATAAAATGTTCAAATGATGTGGTGGACAGAATGATTTCCGAATCTTTAGGATATAGGTAATATTTTAGATAGTAAAGAATTTCTCAGAGGTAGGAGTAAGTTTTCTGTTGAGCAAAAAAAGTTTATTACAAAACGTTTTGCCTGAACGAGAAGCTGAAGATGCATACACTACTGCAAAAATGACGTCCATTCTATAAGAAATATGTAGGCTGAATGGTGGTAAATCGAATTCGCTGTTCCATGTTTTCGTGAAACGGTTATTATACTTGTATAATGTAAGTAGGACTACTTTGCATCCGATGGATATATCATGTGGATATTTTCCACCCCTTTAAGTCTAAAGAACAGCGCTTTTATTATAATTAAATGCTGTAAGGAACTAATATACAGTCCCAATGACTAGCATTAGTTCAAGTAACGGATCTTGTCTTACGGTCGATAATACTAAATATTTTTCTCGAATAGTTATAATTTCAAAAGGTGATTTACTTGGCAAGATTTGTCTTTCCAGAAGTATTTAATCCTTCCACCCCTAAGCCTTTAACATCGTCTGCCACACAACACAACTTCTTAACAGGGAAAAGTAAGTTGACTTAATATTTAGACCTTTAGGATAGAAAAGGGAAATCAACAAATTGAAATATTGTTTGCGATAATACATACTACATAGTAACATCACACTTCTCCTATCAAATATTTTTTTGCAGGCAATCAGAAGACCGCTATCGGACGAGCGAGCCACAATGCGATACATTTTGAAACTGTGTCAAATTTGTCAAACAAAAAGCAAAGCGGTGAGTTGATAAGACTAATATTAAAATGTAAAATTTATGAACTACTGTATGAATAGTAGCCTAAGTATTGCATATTCTTTGTGATTCCAGTATTACCCTATACACTTTTCCCTTATTTAATGGCCACTAAGTTTCCCAGGGTCATTCCATATGTGGTGATATGAGCGTGAAGTGTGGTATCGCGCTTCTTCTTTTTTCTACTTTATAAACCTCAATATCTCCACTGCTGGAAATGGCTATTTCAAAGTCCTCCCCAGATCTGTCTGTCTTGCACTCTTTGTATTTAATTTCCTCCTGCTGTGGCATTAACAGAGTCCGTCCATCTTTTCATTGCTCTTTCAACGCTTCGTCTGTTTTCCCAGAGACCATTCTAAGGCACCTTAAGCCTCCATTTACTGCTGTCCACTCTGGCCACCTGCTCTGCCCATTCAAATTGGGTATTTTTTCTATAACGTCTGATATTTGAGTTATTAGTCTACTGTTTTCATTTCTTATGTGATCTCTTAAACTGACACCCAGCATTTGCGTCGCCATAGTCCGTTGTGTACATTGTAGGGGCTCTAGACTATCTTTTGCGACGCTCATTGTTTCCAATCCGTACGTGTTTACTGGAAGTATGCACTATAATGCGGTTTCCTTTTTATGTGTATAGCGACATTTTTGTTCGTTAAAAATAAAATTTAGTTTTCAGAAGGAGCAGCTATGACCTATTCCTCGCGGTATTTCTGCTTTTTGACTTCCTTTATCAATTCTTGTTTTATGTTCTAATTAAGTGTATTGGTATACTCTCAATCTCTTGTCTGTCAATCGATTATTGTATGTTTCGTGTGCTGAGGATTTTTCTTTTTAAGATGCTTATTTCGAGAACTTTTTTCTGAGAAACCTGATGTTGTCGTTCAATCATAACCTTTAGTTGAGGTGGGTCTCCAATAGTAAGGGATTCGCTATAGACTTTAATTGCGTTTCTTTCCGAGCCTAACCAATTGAACACATCCACAAGCGCCGCCAGTGGGAACAGCTTCGGTGAGGTATTGTCTCCTTGTTTTACTCCCTTTTGTATGTTTGTACAACGCCTTCTTGCAGCCGAAAAATGTTAAGTGGATGTTGTTTTTGTTCGGTTTTACTATCAAAATACGAAGGGTATGATCTGTCGTACTATATCTTTTACGGCAGCAAGCTGGTTCCACTGGTTGAAAAGAGTAATAAGTTTAAACTATTTTTAGATCTAGGAGCTCTAGTTTGTTTTTATGACTTTTCTGGATTCCTTGTTGATTTACGTCAAGGATAATTATCACTTGTATCTTGTGTTTATTGACAACAACCATGATTTATCTGTCCCGTTTTCGGTTTAGTTGGAAGATGGCCCTGGCCGTTTTATGGTCACTACCGGTGTCAAACTTATTAAGCTCTGGCACGCTTTGTCAATGTGTTCTCGTGTTAGTCACTTAAAAATCGATATAAGCTCTTGTGCGACAGTCAGGACTTTTCCATGCCCATCTTCTTTGGAGCTTCGTTTTTATGAACGAGTTCATCCAATTGGGTTCTTCGAAAGGAATCGAGCTGCGATCAATAAATCTTAAGATTAATTGCGGACACAGCATTTTGGAAATTATTTGGGATTGTGACAATTTTTGCGCAACTTTGAGTTTGATTTATGACATTATGAAAGTGCGTCGCTTAAAACCGGCATAACCCGCTTCTCCATAAATTTAAGCACCCAGTCATATGCTATGCAAAACACAAATTTGCATTCGTCAGTTTTAATGTTTAATCTTTATGGTTCCTGACAAAACATTTTTATGACTCCAATTGCATCGGAATGTGTTAAGCCGTTCGCTTTATTTTCATTTTCTTTGAACCAAGTGCATGATGAATTGCGTTTTCTGCTTTTAGGTGTGCTTTTTAATGTGGTCTGGAAATACTTGGTGTCCTTCAAATTCCTTTCTATGTATTGGATTTTAGTGTAGAGTAAGATTGTTGACATCCATCTGGAGATGTTCTCTAGAGTTATTGAAAAATTGTGAAATATAGTTTTCTGTTAATTCAACTATATTTTCGGCAAATTGAAGGTTATTTTTGGGATTAGTACTTATAATTTGCACCCGTGTGGCAGTATAACATATTTATGTAATATCTAGCCGGTTATTCATGGCAGCTGTTTGAAAATGAAATAAAAAAAACGTGCAGTTTTCAATTAGAAATATTTAATATCAATAGGAGCCGGGCATTGCACCAAATTTGGAAGATAATATTGACAAGTAATTTTTTTGAGAAATCAGTGGAACCTCTAAAACCGTTACATACATCATAAGAATGGCGTCTATTTCAAACCAACCTTTATATGACTTTACTTTACGTCTATAGGGCGACCCGTTGGGGTTATTGCTGTCTGTATTCCTACAAAGATAATAATTTCAACGTTTTCGACGCATCACTAGAATAAATAAATTACCGTAACGGCAAACAAAAATCCATGAGCGGAAGACGGTGAAGTGTTTGCTTATCGTTGCTCGCCACCATTGGCTTCCTTTTTGAAAAGTTTTAGGTAAACTTCAGTGTTTGAACCCCTGTTTGGCTCCAAGTTTTTAAAGTCAATAAAAACTAAGCAAATCGCTCGAAGCTCTGGTATTGGTGACGCCGCTTTCTATTTCGTATGCTGTGCTCACGACCAAAAACTCTTGTAAGGGTCAAACTGCATCAAATTAGCTTATAAATATGTGTATAATATAATATGCGATTAATTGTCTGCACTTTCGAAGGGACCCCCATGCATTTTGTCGTCCTTTTCAGATGTAAAACCTGATATCCTTCTATGCATTTATTTTTATAGTTCAAAATAGCGACTATACTATAAACGATCTAGTTTTCGCACACCTAAAGTTAGAACCATTTCCTCAAGAAGTCATGACATTAAACTAATAAACGTTTATTCCTAAGATTACGCACTCTGTTATACATAATTTCCAAAGCTATTTTCGTCCCCAATATTAGATTATTATTAGATTATTATTAGATTACTGGATTTTTAATAAATGAGGTAAGCTAGAACACAAAACTGACTGATTCGATTTGTACTTCTTTCGGTAGTTACTCGTTTAACGTTGATTGAAATTCCGAGGTAGATATTGAGTCCAGCTGAAAAGCAATGTGGAAATTAATTTTATTATTAAATATTTCAATTTTTATCTTATCTTCAGATAAATGTTTAATGTTTTCAAAATTATCGAATGTAGTTTTGCTTACATTTGGTAAAAAAACATTGTATGTTCTGCGTTTGCTATTGTTGAGGCTACGGGTGTCTAATAAAAAAGTTTTACCGAAGCGGAGTCAATACTCCTGAATAGCAATTCAGAATATACACGATTTATGATTTGAAACATTCATATTAATTGTTTAAATAGCGCTAAGCAAATGTGACTCATCAAAGCTACTACAAACAAACCTTATGTTTTAAAGAGCCTAGGAATGAAACATTCAATACATTCGTTCAGTATATACAGTTCTAATTCTAAGTAGATGGAATTTACTTAGAATTCCGCAAGTTCTGATCACATAGTCTATGTGCCAAAAACTTCCTAAACTCTCAAAAAGTGAGCACCCAATTTAAAATGCGTTGCTTAAATATATAGAGACTTTCGGTTAAAAGTTAGTTAAAGTTAACTTGAAATTTCAAATATCGCAAAATGGTAATACTTGGCGGCCATTTCAGGACTTTCTAGTAAAAGTTTTTGAGCAAATAGAGTAGAGTTGTCTTCGTTAACTGACGTACTTTTGATTACCACGGACAACACAAATTTTATGACATTACTATAGACGCCATCTTGTATATTAATTAATATGTAATGGATACTCATTCAAAGGCATTGTTATCAGTTTATAATATTTCAGGTGACATATGTTCATCCGCCATGTGTTTTGAAGCAAGCTTTTCATGTGGCTATAAAGAGTTATTCAAATGTGCTTTTGGAGTAGATAACCCTTTAAGTAGCGAGTCGAAACCTTATGGGCATAAACTCTTAGCCTTATGAGCTATTTTTATCAATAAAAATATCACGGGACACTATGTTCGCAAGATCACTTCGTTCACATGTAACAACATTTAAATATTAGCTTCTTGCACCTCGTACTGAATATCAAATATACTGTTTGTCTACTTCAGTTGGCAAAATATGGAAAACCTTTTTTTTTATTGCACGAAAAGAAGTTATTCATAAAACGTTCTGCATATTCGTAAATCTAAACTACAATCACCAGATTTTATAAATAAGAATATTTTTTAAATTAGGCGCGACTTTATAATTTGAAAACAATTAAGTATTGTTTGTTCGAGAAAATTTAAATAACTTGTGCCAAATTTCAACAATTCGTATTTGTTTTTATTTTCAACAATTTCAACAATACCTCCAATAAAACGTTATAGCGTAATGATACCAACCTACGGTAAGTGAAGAACATATTAAAATCAATAAAAAAGTCAATAACCTATAAATACGAAAACCATTTCGGTGCTTGGTGGTGAAACGAAATTTTTAGATATGAATCTGTGGTTTTGTGTGTGTGAAATCTGTGGAAAGAACCGTTTAGAAATGTGGACAACTCACAGGAGGTATTCGAAGTTCTGCCCATGTAACTCCAAACATGTTTCTGCCCGTTGAATCCTGTTATTGTGCACTCTGCGTAACATTCCTGGACTCACATTTTGTGCAGTTCCCGTATTCGAGTTACTAACTCCTGCTCGTTTTGTACTGGTGTTCGGTACACCACATATTTATTGCCCCCAGAAGAAAAAATCCATCGGAGTCGGTCAGGGGATCTTGGTGGTCAGTTTACTGGTCCATTTAGGCCTATCCGTTTGTCTGCGTATTCATGGTTAAGCCAAGCTCTTACCGGAACAGCGAAATGGGCTGGAGGCCCGTCCATTTTAAGCCAGAGATTTTGAACGGTGGCAAGTGGCAGATTGTCTAGTAAATTTTGAAATTCCGAACGAAGAAACAATAATTTTTTTTTATCATTGAGCCGAGATGGCAAAATTACGGGTTCCAATAGGTGAATACCCAGGATTCCTGCCCACACATTTACACTGAACCGGTCTTGGTGATGAAACGAAATTCGGTGTACACTGGTGTCTTGGCGATGAAACGAAAAACGGTGTTGCCTGGGAAGGTGTAATTTGTTGCGCAATGCTCCTTGTACTCCTGAAAGGATCTGATGCGGTTATGTTCAGTACCTGTTCTTCTATGTCTGGAACCCGAGCACCTCTTGGTCGTCCACTATCTACTTCAATTCTTGGAGCCAATCGTCCAGTATTTCTAGCCCTTTGAATTAGCCGGCGCAGGACATGCGCGCTGGGCTATCGTCGGTTGGGAAACCTGTTGGCGTAAGTTCTAACAGCTTCTGCTACATTACTGTGGCATTCCCCCATACCTAATAGCATATTCATAATATTGGTGAATATTTTGTAAAAAAAGCTTCAAAGTAAGTAACTTACAATTTGACAAATGCTTGTTATTTGCGACAAAAGATATCTACCTGTGACTACCTGATAATGACAAAAAACATCATTGACGCTTTAACTTTTCATCGAAAAATTGTAGAATAGTATTTTTTTTAATATCGAAATTTTTTGTAATTTGAAGCAAAGATAGTAATTTTTCTTTTCAAGCGGTTAAGTATTCCAATATGCTAACAATTAAACATAGAACACCTTCAGAATAATGCTTAATAACAAAGTTAAAAATCGATTTTCAACTGTTAATATCTTCTACAAATTTGCGAAAAAAAAATGTCAATATTTTTTTCGTACTCTCCAAGTGAGCCCCTATAACCCGTTAAAAGGAACGACGCCAATTTTGAATCACCCTGTATATATACATTTAACTTATAATTCATTTAAAATTCATGTTTTTCATTCTACTAAAAATAATAAAAAACGTTCGATACGAAGGCGAAAATCTGTTCTTCCCAGAAACGACACTTTCCGCTTTTGTGTCGAAAACTACTATTTTTGTGTGCCACACTAAAGATGCTTCTCTAGGTGATGTTTATGAAGTATACAGGGTAATTGAAAATGGGCGTCATTCCTCTGGAAGTGTCTGGCGGTGTTTTAGAAATACAAAAAAAATTGTAAAAAAATTTAATTGTTATTAGGCTATGATAAATTTGGATAAAACTATATCAGAAAGAGGGCAACAACGTTTTTCAGGGTAATCTGCCTAATTAACATTACGTAATTACCTGTTGCTTTAAAGGCAAGGATAAACTGGTAATTCAACAAAATTCGTTGACTGTGGAACGTACTTTTTCCAAATGTCAATTAGCTCCGCACAAGCTAGTGCCTGTGTAATCTCCTTATTATCCACTCTTATCGAGCAGCTTTTCGTATTCGGTTAATTAACTCTTGCTCAATTTGTACCGGTGGTTAGTAATCCATTGGTTTAATGTGTCATTGTGCTGTTCTTATCGTATCTTAGATACGTGGCAGAAATGTACCCGGTATTTATTTGATGCCTGGGAAGTGTCAGCTGTTGCTCTCTGAGTACCCGTGGAAGGTTCTGTTCCATTGATGTCCAATATTTGTTCCACTGTGTCTGGAACCCGAACACCTATTGTCTATTTTTGTTGGTGTGAATTTTTACAGCTTCTGCTATGTTACTGTGGCATTTCCCCAGAACTAATCGCATATCCGCAAATTTGTGAAAGGAGTTTCAAAGAAAGTCACAGTATGACAAAGGCTATTTACCTGTAACTATATAATAATGACAAAAAACATCATGGCCGCTTTGACCTTTCATTATAAAATTGTGGAAGAGAAACTTTTCAGTAATTTCGTAATGGGAAGCAAATATAGACATTTTTCTTAAGTTTTCCAATATGCTAGCAATTAAACATGGAACAATTCCAAAATAATGCTTAATGACAAAGTTGAAATTCGATTTTCAACTGTTAATATCTTCTCCTGTACTCTCAATCCCTTCAAAAGGAAGGACGCCAATTTTAAATCACTGCATATGAAGCTTTGCAAATACGTTTTATAATTGACCCACTATAAACACAATTTTAATTTTATATTTAGGACTTAATTAAGACTGCTGGCATTTCTGCTAAACTTATAAATCCATTCTTTCAAATGTCACGAAATACAACGCATGTTTAAATAGCGGACATGACTGATGAATGTATTTTACATTTTAGGATATGCAGAATTTTTTATAAATAGTTACTTTTTTCGTAAAATTTTTAATAAAAACGTTTTTGATTTGCTGCCAACTTAAGTAGACAAACTGTTTACGTTTTACATTTCATACTCTCTGCAGTCCACTTAAAAAAAATGTTTTTTGTCGATTTTGCATTAGTACTTTTGACCCATTTGATATGTCACCCATTGATGGCAAATATATTTATTTGATCATAAGAGAAATTCAGATGTTTTTAAGTTTCAACTATTTTCAAGTCGTTTGCTATCGCCGAAAAGAAGCGGGTTTCAAAATGCTTTTGAAGAAGAACATTGTTTGCACGACCCATAAATTTCTCTTACATATGGAGCAATATCACACTCACTTCCACCTTCACCTGAAAAAATTTCTGCATGGGTCACCGAACATCTAAAAGTTCGTACAAAGCTGATTCTGAATAATACATCAACTTTGCTGAATGCTCATCCATAGCTGAATTGCATATTATCAGCTGAAGCAATTTGAGTGAAAATTGTTCAATTATGTTCCTATACTTTATAGTTTCCTCATGTTTTCAACTTTTGTGAAATTCCATCTCAAAAGTTTGGATTGGATCAATCAATTTATGGCAGCATATTTTTGGCTTCCTGTTTTGCCAGTCAAATATGTCGGCATCAAACTTTAACAAACTTTTCCACATTGAGTAGATAAAGTTTAATACGATGATTAATATCAATAATGGTTGTCTAAATAACCGAATACTAAAATCGATGTTTGCGTTTTGATTCAGTCTAAATCCACAAAAAATCAATCATGTACCAAACTTTTATGCCATTTTGCCTAAACTAGCAAACTATATAGTCTGTACAGTTTTAAGTCGTCATTATTCTTGACTTTCAGTAATTATTCGCAAAAAGAAAATATCCCTAATTGCGTAGTTTATTTACTTTTTTTACGTAATTATTGTCTATCTGGAATATTAGGCCTCCTAGCCCCAACGATGTGGGAAAAAAACAACTAATTTTTCATCATCGTTTTACGCTCTAAAAGTAGACAAACATATATTAATTTGTAAGAAATTAAAATATGTTTTTTTGCTCAGGAGCAGGAAGAATCCCCCGTAGCCACAGATCTAGAAGACATTTTTTGTGGTTTTGCAGGTGTCATAAAAATTATTTGTTTGAACACTAATTAACTGTTTTAAGCAAGAAATGATTTGAATTATGATTGTTTAAGCGTGTAAGTGATGTGATGCATATTCTGAAGCTATGGTAGAATAGTGCACATGGTGTTTCAAAGTTAATATTTTTGACCTCCCGGGATTAGATTCTATAACTAATTTTGAGTAGAAAATGATTTGTTATGGCCATTTTAAAGATCTCGCGAATTTACTGTAGCACACATTCTAGACTATCTATTCTTGACAAACAACGAATACGACCTTGCGTGTATCAACTATCAATTTAAATGACAATTTAAGTTAAAACTGTGGTGCACAAACTGTCGTGTGGGGGTTAGCGGAAAAATCGATTGTACGTTCCCTGATACGATCCTTGCGCCATAATGAGGCTAAGAGGGTCTTGTCATCAGTATATGGCGCCAAAGATGTACTTACTACTTGTTGGAATATGTCGTAGGGGTGGCACTCAGAAATTTAAAATAATTATAATTTTTTTATTTATTTATTTCTTTATTTCAAATTACATTCTGATACATGCACATGTATAAAGAATACAAAATGAAATGGCGTTAAAAAACAATTCACAAAGGACATATTATACTAAAAGGTACTGTTGTTACCCATATAGTACCGATTATTTTCAGACAGTGTTAATCTGTGTGTTGGATACAAAATGTTTCCCGTGCGGGTGCTATGATCCTGCTTAACGTTGTTATCGTGTAAATAAATACTCTTAAAAACACATAATATTGCCTCAAAAATGTACAGACCGTACACGGTTAAAACACACTTTGATTTAAAAACCCCTTGACAAGACTACAAGGGAGACATTCCGTAGATAGTCCTTAGTATACGTTGTTGTACTGTAAATATATTTCGAGTCCTCGAGCTACTCGCCCAAAAAATTATTCCCTGCCTAAGTGTTCCTTCAAAGTTTTCGAAATACAGGGCCTTGCGTGCCGTTTCATTCAGGTATCTTGAAACATTTCCGATACAAAAACAGATTTTATTTAGTTTCTTACTAAGGTAATCAATATGGCTAGACCAGTCTAAAAATTCATCAATATAAATCCCCAAAAATTTTGTACTACTACCTACTGCAATTTGTAGCCCTTTAGCAACAATTGTGTCTGGTTTCTGATTTTTATTTAATTTGGTTCTAAACAGTAATGTGTTTGTTTTTTATTTATTTAAGCATAACGCATTTTTTCCAAACCATCTTTCTGCCGATGTAAACAAAGTAGTGGCATTTCCCACGAGTTTAGGGATTGTTTTTCCTTCTACTAGCAGGTTTGTATCATCTGCATACTCCGTTAGCAGAAAATTTGTGGTAAGATATTCGCTGTTAATGTCATTCATAAAGACTATACACAAAATAGGTCCGAGCATACTTCCCTGTGGCATACCTACTGTGCTTTGCAAAATTTCTGATTTGTAGGACATACCGTCCTGGCGTATAATCACCCTTTGAGTTCTCTTATTTAAATATGAGCGAAACCACTCAAGAGCGCGCCCCCTGATCCCATAAATTTCTAGTTTTTTTCAGCAGTAAATTTTGATTCAGACAGTCAAATGCCTTTGAAAGATCCAATAATATACCTAGAGCCATGTCGCCGGCCCTGGATCGTCCCTTCATGTACCCATGTTGGTTTCGCGAAAGAATATCAGACTCCATCATAAAATTCATTAACCGTTTGGACATGACAACTTCAAATAACTTTGAGAAAGCCGGTAGTAGGCTGATGGGTCTGCAGTTATCTAACATGTTAGAATCGCCTTTCTTCTTATAACATGGTCTAATTGCAGACAACTTTAGAGATTCAGGAAACACTCGTTAATAACTTTTTCGGAAAACATTGATTAAAAATTGCCAAAAAAGTGCTCATAAAAATTGACCATTGTTTATTTACATCCGCCACATCTATTGCATAAACTTGCTAACCATTCTTGTTGATTTAGAATATCGAAAAACTCCTTTCGACTATCCTCACTGAAAAATCTCTTGAAGTAGCATTGCTTTGTCGGCTTTACGGAAATTTTACACTCTAATACTATTTTTTGTGCAGTGTGATCCGAGATGACTTGCAGTGTGATCCGAGATGATTTCGGAACATTTGTAAATATATTGTCTATACAGCTATTAGATGTTGATGTTATTCTTGTATTTTGATCTATTGTTTGGTACAGATTAAAAGAGCCCATCACAGATAAAAATTGCGTCCTGTAATCATTACATTCCAAAAGTTCTATATTAAAATCACCCGCAATGACAATATTTTTATTTTCATTCGCAATTAGGGTAAGTGCGAATTCTATTTTTTTAAGAAAAATTTTTATGTCTCCTTTTGGTGGCCTGTATATTGTCATCACGATAAAAGACTCTTCTCAAAATTTACTTTCTATACATACACATTCAAAGACGCCCTCTACTGATAGCTTATTGATTTTTGTTCGCTGGGTAAATTTTCGGTTTTTGTCTAGGTATATTGCAGCTCCTCCATATCATTTTTTTCTGCAATAGCTGGACGCAAGCGTAAAATTATGAATACCAAGCGTTTTTAGGTGTTCTTCTTTTTTCCAATGTTCGCTAATGCAGAGACATTTGCAATTTTTATTTTCATCTAGCATGTGATTAATAATATCGACACAGTTTCCTAGAGACTGGACATTTTGATGTATGATACTGAATCTTGTTAATTTCGTCGGGGCATTGGTATTATCTCGGTTAGGCTGTTCTGTTGAGTCGGAAAAAAAGTTTTTTGTTCTTGGGTGTTGTTAAAATTAATGTACTCGCGCTGTTTCTTCATATTTTGCAGAAAAGCCGGACATTTTTGATCTCTTGCAGAGTGAATTCTGTCATTAAGTCTCAAGCGCTTACAGTTTGGACAATCTAGAATTTGTGTTGCACAATGATTGGGTTCATGTGTACCTCCACATTTGTAGCAACATACATCGCTTTTACAATGCTTAGCTACATGTCCGAAATTACAACATCTGAAGCACAATGCAACATTGATATGTTCCTTTTAAATTTGATTAACATGTCATGTTTTCTTGTTTTTGGGGGAGTTGCCCAATGTTCCTTCCCGATGTCGTCACTTTGATGTGGGGTGGTTTTTGTGATTGTGCTATATGTCTTTGGGGCCTTTCCAATGACTACTTGTGTTTGGGGGGCAGTCTACTGGTTTAGTATTGTTTGTATTTGTGCATTTTATTTTAATTTCTCGTTGCAATTATAAGTTTTCTTTGTTTCTTCGAGTTGTCCTACTCTATATACTAAGGTTGTCACTGTTTTATGGACTTTAAAACTTGCCTTCCTTATCTTTGAAAGGTCGTCTTTATTAAATTGTTCTTTCTCCGAGACAGTGTGAATGTTTTCCAATGCTTCCAGTATTTCTTCAATTAGTGTGACATTGTTAGTACTTGCAAAGTGTAAATCTTCATCTTTTGTAGCACCATTATTAATGTGGTCTTCTTCTTTAGCATTTTCGGTCTGTTTTCGAATCTTTTGTCTGTCTTGTATGACCGGAGGACTGGATGCTGATCTTGGCCTTTTTTGTGTTTTAGTGTCATCAAAACATGGTTTCGGTGGTGTTCTTGCCATTAATTTTTTAGGTGTAAAAATACTCATTTTGTTGCTTTGTTCAGTTGTTTTATCCAATTCTAAATTGTTCTTATTGTGTTCCCCCTGTAGCTCGATATTTTGGTGTGCCTTATCAAGGAATGTTGTATTCATTGGATTGTCCCTTTTTAAGGTAGATAACCCAATAATTTTATTTATTTGTACCCACCTCTGAATAATCAATGGATTCCAGTGAAGAACTTCTGGATTTCTTCACTTTTCCATTTGCCGTTTTTTTCTTGGCCCCAGTCCTTTTGGCGTCACTTTTGTCACTCATCTTATGTTCGAATTATCAATTTCGGTTCACTAATGCCACCAAAAACTGATTTAAATCGTATTGCTATTTAAACACGTCCGTTCAGTCGGCCGAACGCGAAAATCATCATGATCCTAATCGAAAAGACTAATTTTTAAAGGGGTATTGATCGAACCAACCATTATGAACCAGGAATCTGTCTACTGATAAGTCAAATTAACCAGAGCCTGGGCTGTTGCAAGTCATTTGTCCCAGACCTCAAAAACCGAAACTTAACATATATCTATACCTATGAGTTTATCTTCGGTACCCCTAATAGTTTAAAGCATACACTGTGCAGTTTTTGAGAGATTTAGAAACTACATTTTTAGTTCAATTGCTTTCAAAAGTGAGCTCAAGGATCCTTTTGCTGTGCGCATTAAGTATTTATTTAAAATTCAGTTCTTTGCATACATCATTGATGCACACTTACAACAGTAGGTACAAAACAGGTCCCGTGGTGTCTGGGAAACATGTATGAAAAAAAACCTTCCACAATTCCTAGGAAAAATGATGTCCAACATTTAAGTTTTAGTGAGAAGAACATGTTAGTCAGAACTGTGGTGCGTAGATGTATTATCTCTAAACACATAGAGCATGTCAGAGAACTCGATGGGGACAGTAATTTCATGCGTATGTATTTAGTGTTCAGGTGTTTGAATGTGTCGTTTGTCTGCTATGTCTAGCTGATGGGACTAACAGGATCGATAAGTCACTTTTGGGGGTGGCCGCGACTAACAGAAACTCGGTAGCGTCTGCACATACATCCAGAATATATCATAATAAAATATCAGAAAATCTAGGCTAGATATTCCGGTGCCTACATAGCAAGAACTAATTTAAAATTTTACAGATTCGTATGATTCATCTAGCGGAAAAAGCACCACAGCAGAAAATCTTGAGCAAGTACCAGCATCTGTAGCAACTAGTTTTTATACATTTCAAATTACATTACCCATTAGAAGTTGTTTTTTAAAAGGGTACATTCCGTTTATACTCATAAACATAGGATTACTTGATACTCATATTTGGTAGATAATCATCTCCACATTTTTGGGCTTTCATTTATTTTGACACATTCCAACTTGGTAGAATCTTCTATACTTGATAATCAGAAGCTGCAGACTGACAAAATCAATACGTCTGAAAGAACCTCATTATCGATGCCTAACAATATATGTATTTGGGAGTCAAAATCAGCCTTTTTAATTGAAAATAGAGTCATAAAGTTTTTTATTTACATAAGATGAGATTGTAATTTCGAAATTTTTTGTTCTTTATGTTAGTTCTGAAACTGTAAATAGTTATCAGCAATACAGGGTCTTCAAGATAAGGATGCATCGCATGGGATCTCCGAAATCGTAGGAAATAGGGAGTCGGTTAAATTATGAAAAAGTTGCGTAATTAATGACCACCAATGAAAGTAAATTACAACATGTTGGTTTTTTGAAATAATCATCAATTAGCATTGGAAACTCAATTAGAAATTTTTTTTATATTTTACTACTGGAAAACATACAAAATTGCTGGTTTCAATAAGACGGAGCTCCTGAGCACAGTGTCCGACAATTTCTGCAGTACCGGTCTCAACGGGTCCCAAGAAGATAGATCGGAACTTATGGTGACACTATCCGATCAGCACAACCGCCAGACTTGAGCCCACTCGACTTCACACTCGGGTTACACTTAAAACAAAGTTTATATTCAATATTTTAACACGGCAAGCTAACCTTTGAGCCCATTAACCCATGTATTTAATTTCATAACTTCAGATCTATCCCGGTATGTAAATTTAACGGTAAGACGAACGTACCTGTGTTTAGATAATAATGGTACCTGTTCGAGAACCTCAAACGTCTCGAATCTCAATTTCTGCACGCCATCAGCATCGGCAATAATGCAGATACCGGTGATTCGAAACCTACCCTGCGGCCAGGCACTTGTGAAAGAACCATGGGGGCTCACTCATATGGCCATGCGCGTACCCATGTTTTTGGGAGCGCAGCCCCGCCATCTGTGACTGGTTTGTTCAAGATAAATTGAATGAAGTGACAATTTACAGTTTCCACTTAAGGGCATAAAAGAGACAATCTTATAGTTTCCACTTAAGGGCATAGATGACATGATAGCGCATTTATAAAACGTGGGGATTTACTATTTTTATGTTACAACATGTTTTAACAATTTTATTGATAACCTAGGCAACGGAAATATAACGAGTGTAAATTTGATCTGCCACTTCATTTTGTCTTTTTCATTTCTAATTAGATGCATGAACGGGGAGACCAAAGTTCAATCAAAATTGGTTGCTAACTCAAAAACAGTTGAAAATTATTACAGAACATTTGTATAGAGTAGGAATAGAATTGTGGCAATAGTTAGAATATGCAATAAAAAGTACGGCATTCCATTTAAAAAACGACAAGTTTGGTCTGCTACTTGAATTTGAGACACCCTGTATTAATTGATATTATCTTAAAATAAACTAGACGTTAGTATCTACAACTTTTGTATTTAACATTTTTCTCTAAATTGCAAATGAGATGCAAAAACGGGGTGGCCAAGTTTAATCAATAACCCTGTACATATAAAATAGAAAAATTTATAAAAAAAATTTTTTGAAGTAATAATCGGTACACACCGTACTGTGTTATAATACATCGTTACATTCGCTATTATATTTATAATATTATAAAAGTGCTCTAAAAATCTAATACCTTATGTATGTTTTTTCAATCCAGGTGAAAAAGAACTTGGTGATGAAATGTTGGAATACATTTTCATCGACATTATGTTGTAGAGGTCGAAAAGGTGCTATAAGGAGGTATTTTTGTTTTTTCAAATCAGTTGAAATAACTCCGCATATGATAAAGAGCGAAAATACGAAAATCCACATATTTTCTCAATCTAAATATCTCAAAATATAACAACAATATTTTTTTTTCAAAAACGCCATGTATATTTCCCTCTGATTGCGCAACTTTTTCATAATCTAACCGACATCGCATCTCTTACAGTTTTCACGATGCCCATGCAATGTGAGCTTAAATTGGTCACCCTATGCCTAGAAGTTCATCAGGCAGTAGAACAAAATGTAAACATATCATGTTGACCAATAAAATCATTTTTTGTAATATCACAAGTCAAATTTCCAACGATTAATTTAAGTATATATTGATTTGAAGGATGTATGTAATATAAATAAAAGTAATCGGAAGAAATTATTTTGTGTTTCCCTCATCCTTGATATTTCCGCAAGCAACCGTAGGAAGTGCAGTCTCTGCAGCGGATAAACCAAAACGTAAGGTAAGGTTTTTTTTAAGTAAGGTAACGCTCACACTATTTGTAAACTATTATACTGTAACTAACTATACTCCGTATTATCAGACTATGAAGGCTTTGACGGGCGGCCAAATCAGATATAGAAATGTTTTTCGGGCTTTGAAGCCGTGGTCCATGGGAGTTTTTTCCTGATGTTTCGTCAACAACTGCGATGGACATTATCAAAGGCGATGAGGCAGTGGGCGAAGTGATCATTTTTTGACTAAGCTTGACCCCCCGGCTTTCTGGCTAAGACTGATTCAACTACTGGATCCTCTGTCGTATTTATGCCCAGCGGTGTGAGCTGTTTGCCACAAAATGCGTTTCCAATCTAGATTAGGGCCGTTACTTCTCCTTTCCTATAAAAATTGTCACGTTTAAAGATCTCAATGGCCTCTCTGGTTAGTTTCGGGTAATACCGTTGAGATTGGTGCAAAATGTCCACTTTATCGTCTAGAAGTGCGTGCTCCGCTACTGCTGATTTTTCTGTTTGTCCTAATCTGCAACTTCTTTTATGCTCAGTGATTCTCGTGTTTACACTACGTTTTGTAGTACCGATATATGCCCTGCCACAACTGCACGGAACTCTGTAGACTCCTGGTGCTGATAAAGCAGCGCGTTTGTCCTTGACCGATCTCAAAGTCTGTTGGATTGTTCGTGTTGGTTTAAAAACTCTTTCGATTCTGTGTTTCTCCAGTATCCTGCCGATCCTGCCCGTGACTCCATGTATGTATGGGAGGCAAGTCCAACAATTGTTTTTGTTTTGTTTTCTCTCAACCTCCACTGTTTCTTGGTCGAATTGCTCTATTAAACTCGTTCTTGTCACAAATCGACTTTGTTCGTCAAATTGTGGTACTTGATTGCCCTTCGCTCGGCGACCCTGCTGGGTCCACTCCTCGTCCCTTCCTTTCAATAACGGTGGTCCGTGAAGGTGGGGCAACCACCACGTTTCCAGACAAAACCATGATAAAGACTGCTGATGTTTGGGAGGGAGATACAAATATCCAAACATCAAAATTAAAATAATCCCCAACATATTATTAACCTAATCTGACAAACGTGCTTACTAAATCCAAGTTACAAATGAAAATCGGTAGACAAAAATAGCTTATTACAATTATAACTTATTCCTACATACATTTGAACAACGGGTTAGCAGACAAGTGACCCATTGGCTAAATTCTATTTTTAACAGTTACACGTTTACGTTTAATGAAATAGTAAATGGCCTCAATCGTATTGTATTTACAGAAGGTAAATAATGTTGCCAATGAAAGGACTAGATTATCAAAATCTTTCAAAAACTATATGTAATGAACGCGTAATTATATATGCTTTACCTGCATATGGAGGTCATTTATCGGATTCATTTCACACATGTTTAGTGAGATAATAATATTTACTGAATAAGATACTGTTTTTCTATTCTGCCAAGTCGTTTTAGGTTATATTTTTCGAACTAATAAGTATAGTTTTTTATTACTCCCTTCTATTTACAGTCAGTTTAAATAACAAAGTAAATGACATGTTAAAATTAAAAGATAAGTCATGTAGAGTATATTCCAGCGAACATTTCTCTCTCTTAATCAACTAACTTAAATTCAGTTGCCCATTCCTATCATTGCACTATGTGTCTATTCAAATATTAAATCTGTCTATTAAGTCTGTTGGCTTAAATCGCTTATTCGGCGCACTTCACCGGTATTGTCAAGAAGTTGATTAGCAAGCACGTTGGGGTGCACTTGTAGCCTGACCTCATATTTTTCAGAGTATCTCCTCACTTCGCTTTTGCCGATGGCATATTCAAGTCAGTTGCTATGATTTTGTTTGGGGCGTAGTGCGAGGCGTTGGTCACCATGCGAATGACTGTTATCAAATCTCTATAGGATTTCTATACTGGAGTTGCTGGCTGTTTCCCATAGCTGTATGCCGTATGTCCATATGGGTTTTAAGATAATTTTATAGATAAGCAGTTTATTTTGCAGTGATAGTTGAGATCTTCTTCCAATTATCCAAGTTTCTCTTTGTGAAGATATGTTTCTGCCATGTTCGTCTTTTGCCCAGATGTAATCCGAAGTACTTTGCACTTTCTTGTTGTGTTAGTTGGGAATTGTTGAGAAAGACCGGTGGGCATATCTCTCGTTTCATTGAGTATATGACATGTACACATTTGCTTTCATTGGCTTTGATCTTCCATCTTCTGAGCCACGTCTGGATTTTATTCAAGTTGTTCTGCAAATTCTTTGATGCTTTACTCGCGCTAGTGTGTGATGCCAGTACTGCTGTATCATAAGCAAATGTTGCGACTGTCGTCAATCTGGTAGTCGGCATATCTGCTGTAAAGAGCACTTAGAGTATGGGCCCCAACACACTTCCCTGTGGTACTCCAGACTTTATGGCGTATAGGTCTGAATATGCATCTGGGTGCCTGACTAGGAAGTGTCTGTCTGAGAGGTATGCACGTAATAGTTGGTGGAATCGATGAGGTAAGAATTTCTTTAATTTGCAGCACAACCCGTCGTGCTAGACCTTGTCAAAGGCCTGACCCATGCCCAGAAAAGCTGCAGAGCAAAATCTCTTATGTTCGAGGTCGTTATTGATTTGATTCATCAATCTGTTGATTTGTTCAATAGTTCCTTCCGTTTTTGTTCCGAAAACGAAATTGATGGTTGGGTATGTTTTCTTAAACCGGATTGGTTCAAAGCGCTTGAGAAACAGCTTTTTGAACAGTTTTGATATTATGGGCGGTAGAATAATGGGCCTGTAGGATGTTGGTTCGTTCGGATTTTTGCCTGGTTTGTGTATCATAATAATTTCTCCTACGTTCCATTGACACGGGAAATATCCTTGGAGGAGCATGGCGTTAAAAATTTTGTTGTATTGCTGTGATACCTTTTCTACTTGGCTTCTGTAAAATTCTTCCATTAACCAGGTCATATCCGGGGACTTTGTTAGGGTTTATGCTTCTCATGATTGCTGATTTAACTTCGTTATATCTGAATTTTTGCACTGGTATGTCCATCTGGTATGGTTCTTTAAGCAGGTTATCAGTTTCTTCTTGAGTCAGTACTAGACAGTGGGGTTTGAAAACTGATGAGAGGTGTGTAAATACAAAAGCTTTTTCCTGATTGCTTCTGGCCCATTTCCATTAGCATCTCTCAAAGGAGGTACCGGTTGTTGTAGTCTTCTCAGTTTTTTCGTTGTTCGCCAGAGGGAGTTGTTTGTTGCTTTGATGGGTGACAAACCTTCTAAGTAGTTTTGGACGGACTGATTTCTTAGTCTTTCGAGTAGGTTTTTTAGACTTCGGGCCGGTCTATTGAATTTGTCTTTATCTGCCTTCAATCTGGTTTGTTGCCATCTCTTTCGCAGGCTTCTTTTTTCTGATATCTTATCAACCCGTACTGATTTTGGGCATTGACATCTGGCTTCGTCTTCTTTTGGGTCCGGTGTTGCCGTCCAAGCTGCAGTTTGAATGGATACGTCTAATTTTTTAACCGCTGCCTCGATTTCAGTTGGCGCTTTGAGAGGGATTCTGAAGTCGATACTTTGGTCCAGTGTTTCTTGGAATAGCTCCCTGTTAGTTTTGTAATTACATAGGGTAGGTTGATTCTTTTTTCTGGTTATGCTTGAATGCATTGTTACTACTGCTGGAGTGTGGTCAGAGGACATATCTAAACTTGTTTCAATGGTAAGGTGTTTTGTCTCTATGTTTTTCAGTACAAAAAAGTCGATTGCATCTGGTATCTTGGTTTTATCTGTGGGCCAATATGTTGGTTCCACCAGTCGACAGGTACTGTAAATTGTTGGGGGTCATTGTGGCCAGTAGCTCTCTTCCTTTCGTTATCATGAGTGTAAATGCCCAGTGTTCGTGCTTCGCATTGTAATCTCCTCCGGCAATGAATTTGTTACCCAGAGTTTTAAAATACTTCTCGTAATCCTTCTTTTTATTATTATGTTTGGGGGACAATTGACAGCAGAGACAGCAATGTTTACTGACGCCATTTTAAGGGCAACGGTTGTTGCTTGTAGACTTGCTTCCCTATAGGGTTGTAGTTCGTGGTGTTTTTATGTAGTTAATTTTTCTTAAATAAATCCTTCATCAGAAAATGACAAAACAAGGACACTTTTGTCCGCTGCAGCATTATCATAATGTTGAACATTATAAAATTAAAAAAATAATGGCCACACCAGATAAAGTACATTAATTTTGCAGTAATAGCTTTAATGTGCTCTAAAGCTAAATTGTAAATTAATTGAGAAAAGTTGTTAATTTTGAACTGCTGCAAAAATTGCTATTGCATATAATTTTAATTTTTCATGTTCTTTTTCCATATGGAATTATTAATGTTTATTTCCCATTTCCCACGTGGATGTATGAAACTACAGTTTATCTTTTAATATTAATTGATATTTAACGAACTATATCTGAGTAACAATTATAGCCTGTACGCTAAAACGTTGGACGCATGTCGTCAACGACGAAATTTGACTACCAACATAAAAACAATTATGCATGAATTTTGTGTGATAAGTCGAATCTTTTCTGTTGTGTTTTGGGCATTAGAGAACCTCGAGTAATCATAAAATGCGCAAGAACTTTAGAATAGTACCTAATTTAAAGCGCTTGATTATTTATATTCATCTTTAAAGTTTTTGGGTTGGTAAAAATTACAATGTAACCGAATCAATCGTAGATTTATCGGAAATTTTTTAGAGACACATGACGTTTGTTTGTTGCATTTGTCATGCACTTGTCCATGACTTTTGCGTTGTCGGTATATTTGTTCTTTTCAAAGAAATCGTGATTCCAAAAAGAATAATCAGCAAGAGCGAAACAGCACTGAGATAATTTAATACCGCTTCGAGTATTTATGTACAGGGTGGTTTCTTAGTGCGATAGA